ATATTGATACAAAATAATAATTGTGGAGATAAAATAACATTTATTGATAAAAGATAATAATTTTTAATGTGATATAATAGTGATTTCACTTTTGAAAGTGAGAGAGTATTGCAGAAATATAGAAAAAATGGTAATAAAATTACAAATTTGGTGATGTAGAAGTAGCATCAAATTTTGAAAGTGAGAAAGTATTGAAGGGATAAATATAGCCTTAGAGCATCACCATTAGTTGATTTTTTGTGAGTTTTAATTTTCAAATAAAAAAACCAAGGAAGAGTTTTTTTTTAACTAATGAGAAGGGGCTTTTTCTCCTACAAAAATGAGTTTTTGGTCGGCCCCATTAATTGGGAAGAATTGGGTAAAGCAAGCAGTTAGCACGCGTTTGGTTTACCTCCGGCGCCTAGCTGGCGAGTGAAGTGCACACGCCATCAAGACGTATGAATAACATTATATATATATATATATATATATATATATATATATATATATATATATATATATATATATATATTGTAACACCTCGTGCTACGACCTTTAAACCTGGATTAATTATTTAATTAATTCCCTTAAAGATAGTTAAAAAGGATTTAATCTGGTTAGGATTCCTTTAATTAATTAATGCGGTCCACAACGGATCGTGCGCCCTTACCTAAACTAGAGCCTTTAAGTCGGTTAGGATTAAAGAAAGTGGGCCTACCCTTTACTGTTCAGATTCTAATTAGGATCCCCAAATCTATATATAGGGGATTAGAAAGCATTTAGAGCCTTTCCCACCCATATCACTCGAAATTCCCAAAGAGACCTAGCCAATGATTTCCCCATCGTCAAGCTTAGGAAAAGATCAATTGGAAGGAAATCTTGAGGAAAGTTCCTAGGAGTTGTGAGAGATTTAATTAAGGCCAAGATGTAACTCATGTCTTACAAAACCTATTTTCCTTGCTATCTTTTATTTATTGGCTCCTTTGATAATCGTATGTATGAATTTGTGATTATTCCTTGATAGAACTTGTCTTTAGGATTATGATGTGGATTCTTGGTATTCTTGATGTTCTTGATGATCTTGTATTTAATTACGTTTAGAGATTGTCTTTAGGGTTTTATATTGTGGGTTCTTGATGTTCTTGAGGTTCTTGATGCTCTTGAACGATTATGTGTTTGCTCTCGAGTCTTGGCATGTTTAGGGCTTGTGTCTAGGGTGTAATTGTGTTGTTTCTTGGCTTATTCTTGGTGTTCAAGTCCTTGTTGTTATTGATGTGTGTTGGGATGTGTTTGGACTTGATTTTGGGTAAGCTTGATGAATTCCCGGGTTGGGAAAATAATCCAAGAACATTCGTACCAACGGGTAGTTGGTGGGGGGATGAACCCCACCTGACCACCCGCCAGGTACGACCACCGTACCAGCGGGTGGCCAGCGGGTGGTCCCCGCCGGTGTACCCGCTAGTACAGTGTCGCCCGCCGGCGGGCAGTCCGGTGGAGGTTGTCCTCTCGCCGTACCGCCCGCTGGTACGGGCAGGGCGGTGTGTCGTTGGGTCCCGTTTGTTTTTTCCCCGTACCCCATTGTGCCCCGTTGACGTTTGTGAGTCTAGTCTGATGTCGTGGATACCAAATTAGGAGTCGTGGGTCTTGGGTATTGCATGTGGTTTAAGTTGGTATCACGTTGGCCTAAGATGAGGTTTGTATGTTCCCTTGCGAGTCTTGTGGTTTCCTTGATTGTCATTGGAGGAAGAGTCTAAAGTGTTCCCCATGGGTTGTGTGTTGGTATTGTGTCAACCGTTGATAAGAGTCTATGTGTTTGTTGTACCCTTCCCTTTGACTACCCCTTGCTGAAGTATTGTTGAGTGTCGAGTACTATTGTGCTGGAAGACAGATCTGATGGGGCCGCAGTACTTTTGGAGTGTGGTGTTGCGGTACCTTTGGTGTTATGGGCTGCAGTACCTTTGGTGTTATGGGCTGCAGTACCTTTAGAGTGTGCCGCTGCAGTACCTTGGATATTATGGGTTGCAGTACTTTTGGAGTGTGGTGCTGCAGTACCTTTGGCATGCGGTGGGCTGTAGTACTTTTGGATTGTGGTGCTACAGTTCCTTTGATACATTATGGGCTACAACACTTTTGGAGTGTAGTGCTGCAGTACCCTTGGAGTGATATTGTGCCTTGCCTTGGCGGAACAGATCTGCGAATGGAGTTTGAGTCTTGTTGTTGTCTTGTCTTGAGGTCTTAGGATGCATGCTAGTACGTTTATGTGTTTTTATAGTGTCGAGTCTGTTGGTATGTCTCGAGCCCTGATCTTGATTTTAAAGCTAGAGTTGTTTAGAACTATATATGTATTCCCGAGTCTCAAAATGCTTTTCTTATATCTACCTATACTGTACTCAACGCGTGGGAGTGGGTTACTCAGCATTATTCGCTGACGGTTGTCACACCATATGTTTTTCAGGTACTGACCAGTAGCTTCGGAGCGCGCTAGACGGATTCGTGGACTTAGCTTTAGTTAGTGCTAGTCTTAGTATAGACGGCATGTGCGCCTTGATTGTATTTGAATATTACCTATGGAATATGCTTAGATTAGTTAATTGTAGCATGTGCATCTAGATTCTCCAGCCAAGGTGTGGCATAGCACCCCGATACTTATGTTGTTAGGCTCCGCTCTGTTTGGGTATTAATGATAGAATCATATTTATTTCATAAGCTTTAAATGTTTTAAAAATTAGGGGTGTTATATATATATATATATATATATATATATATATATATATATATATATATATATATATATATATATACCAAGTTCAAAAGTTATATATTATTTGTTGGTGAAATCAACTTTTTCTTTCGGGAGGACCGATAATCGGGAGTAGGAAGAGTCCGAGACCCGAAACGGTGACCCAGAAAGAGAAATGGATCTCCGAAATCAACACAGAGCAGTTCTTGCAAAACTGATACATAGAAGAAACAGGAGAGAAGAGCAGGCCGGGGTCGCAGTGGCAAAGTGAAAATGTGAGATTGTTAATGGAGATGAAAGCAAGGCGAGGAGAGGAGCACTGGATTTGGAAAGAAGGGTGGCCGTAGCCAGGTGAGGCGGAGAAGGGGTATGGAGGAGCAGCGGTGAAAGGCTGGCATGTGGAGGCGTTCACAGTAGAGGACGGTGGCGAGCAACCATAAGCTAGCGCCACTGCGGCAATGAGAAATATTGGGAAGAGGATGGTGACTGCGGAATGCGATGGAAATATGGCGGAGCAAAAAGTGGGAATCTTTAATTTAAAGGTGAATCATGAATGAGGAAAGAAGCAGTGGGAGTAGAACAAGTAGGAATCTGGGAAAATGTAGGGATGAATGTTGATATAGATTTGGTTTTGAGATCATTGATTCATTGATTCATGGATGCGTAGGATGTTGGAAGATAGGTGGGAAGAAGAGGGTTGAAGAAAAGAAAAGACCAAAATACCCATGCTAAATCGGAGTCCTCACCGACTGAATGACGGCACACGATCTGAAGGAGTTATTCGACCAAAAATAATTTATTTCGAGGATCAAATTGATGAATATGGAATTGAGGGACTACATTGATAGTTCGTCAACAATTGAGGGACCAAATCATTGATTTTTATGTTCATGTGAGAACTTACCTTAATGTGTGAACCTGAGAACCTATGCACTCCCTTGATATGATGTTGCATCATCCAACGGTCCAGAACATGATGCACAGAAAAAGTCAACCCAGGGCGCAGTACACAACGTGTGTGCATTGTGTTATAGATGATATGCACATTGCCCACTAAGCTAAATAAATTTCCCACATTAGTTCTGAGGTTCATATGTTAATATAGGTTCACACACACACACACACACACACACACACACACACACACACACACACACACACACACACACACACACACACATATATATATATATATATATATATATATATATATATGTATTGGATCATATGAGAACAAGTACTTAGAAAAAAACTAAAAACCAATTTCAACTTTACATTTGGAAAAATTGGATGGACTAAATCTGATTTTAAAGAAATGTGATGGTAATTTCGTAATTATCACCAACTTTACTATGCAAACTTGAATACTAAAATATGCAATTTTCATACTTTTTCAAGTTTGCACATTTAATATTTAAAAGATTGCACTTGTAAAAAAACGAAAATACATTGCACTTAATTAGGGTTTTGATTTAAAAGTTTATGACTGCGTCTTTTGTTTTGTTTGGTTTAGTGGTTCACTTTTTACTGCTTAGCCTCTAGCATTTACGGTTTAGATTTTAAAATTAGGATTTTCGTTGATTTTATAAAATTTACAAAGTTTTCATATTTAATTGTTAATGATTGCATATTTAAGTGTTGAAGTTTACATAGTGAAGTTCATGATAATTACGAAACTGTCACCGCGGTCACACACACACACACACACACACACACACACACACACATATGTATATATGGATTAGTTCATGTGCGAAGACTCTCCCAGGTGAAAAATGGGGTGAAATATGAGACGTTGATCCAATCTAGATCAACGGCTTAAATCAAGAAAAATTATTTTAAAAAAAACCTTCTACCAACATGCATGTAAATGATCAACTGTCTCAAATTGATGATATAAAATCAACGCACCATAAAGTATAAACCTCATTGTTTATCTGAAGCCTATTACCGCATTTGATCTCTATTAATATATATAGATTCACGCGCCCAGTAGTGCACGCACCAGGCGTGTTTGAATGGTCTACAAACCCAAGACAAGTTTTTATGTATGAAAAACTCCCAAAAAAAACTAAAAAACTAAAAATGTGGTTGCTTAGGCATGTTGTTTGTTTTGGTTGGTGAGAGAAATTTTCGGTCAGTATGTGAGAGCATAATATGTTGGATCAGGTGACTATCTAGATATAAAAATTATGTTTCACCTACTCAGTCATTGATCGGGACGAATGGATTATATTTACTATTTAATCTAGACCCCCTCAGTCAATTACAGACTTATTGGTCCGTCCGTCCAATAATAGAATTTCCTGCAGATCTGGAAAGGAATCTTTGTGTTATATAGATACAAGCTGCCCGGCCTATCTTTTAGCAGAGAAAAAATGGCGACTCCCACTCCCCTTAACGCTCTAAAGCTCATGCCTTTTCGCATGATTTTCAACCGTATATACGCTCTTATATACGTATTCGCCATCGCATCTCTTCTCTACCGCCATGTCCAGACCCTCCTCAGCTCCACCGCCTTTTCTTCTTTCCTCGTACACGCCGCCATGCTCGCCGCCGACCTGGTTTTCGCCTTCATGTGGTCGACGACGCAGGCCTACCACATGCGGCAGGTGACGAGAACGGAGTTCCTGGAGAATCTCGAGAAGGCGGTGAAGGAAGAGGATTTTCCGGCGATGGATGTTTTTATATGCACGGCGGATCCGTACAAGGAGCCGCCGCTGGACGTGGTGAACACGGCCTTGTCGGTCATGGCGTACGACTACCCGCCGGAGAAGATATCGGTTTACGTGTCGGACGATGGCGGATCGGAGCTTACCCTCTTCGCTTTCATGGAGGCGGCGAAGTTCGCCGGACACTGGCTGCCGTTTTGCCGGGAAAATAAGGTCGTCGACAGGTGTCCGGATGTGTTCTTCACGTCTGGTTATGGTACAAGTCTTCATGCTCAAAAGCTTAAGGTAAATTTATTTATTTTTTTCATTAGAATGAAATAAAATTTATCTATGAAAAATTCAACGAAATTTGTTCATAATATAATATAAAATAATCTAAAACAAATTTCACTTGCTTAGGGCGTTGAAAATTTGTTCATAGTATAATAATATAGTTATTTCTACGTGGTCGGTGGTCCTGGTTATTTTTATATTTGTCAGGTTTTATATATTTCATGATTTTCATTCATTTGTCATATATAATTAGAGATATGAATGTCAATCGGACGGGACTTTTCGATTTCATGTTATCCCTATTGGATTGTCAAACTTTTTAGTTTGGTTAATTAGTCAATTTATTTTCCGTCGGGTTTAAATTTTTTGACCCTAGCACTAAAATTAATTTTGGGCTATCAACCTCATGGAGAGGGCTCAACTAAAATGGTTGACATTTTAAAATTAACATTACGAACTTTCAATTAAATAATAAATAAAATATAGTAATAAGATATCATATGAACATAATATAAATGCGAGTGAAGTCGCATACACTGTGTGTACGTTGTGCATGTATGTCGTGTGTGCTTCTGTATCTATTGCGCATGCATTAATTTATACACATATATAATTAAATACTATTTTATTTATTAAAAAAAAAACTATTTTGCAGTATATAATTTACTTTAAGAAATTGCTCCGGTGCCAAAATCAGCACAATGCTTAACCCGGCCTAAAACTAGTAGGGGGAAATGTCTAGTTCCAATGAAATTCTAATTAATAATGAGTATTTAATTGTTACAAAAGGATACAGTATTTAAATAAACTTCCTTTGTCTTTAATTGGAGACAAAGGCAAGGGATGAGTGTTGTGTTTGTTTCTTGGATTTTTTTTTTTTAAATCAAATTTATAATATTATTTTAAATATTTTAAAAATATTCTTTTAATAAATTAACCATCACATTAGAAATGACCGGCCAAATGGGTTATTTTTTTATTTAATTACATAATTTTAGGTGGTTCAGTGACCTAATTAAAGTTTTTTTTTTTTTTTTTTTTACTTCGATGACCTAATTACATATTCGCGTGTAGTTCAGTAACCTATTTGTCGTATGTAATTTACATTAACAAATTTCTCTAGTGCCAAATTCAACACAATGCCTAACCCTAAAAATAGTAGGGGAGATGTCTTGTCACAACTAGGAAAAATGTTTAGTTCCAATGAAATTCTAGTTAATAATGAGTATTTAATTGTTACAAAAGGTGTACAATATTTAATTGTTAGTTTTAACCATGAATCTTCATTGGTTGAAAGGTTTTTTTTACTTTGTTTATAATTTTAATAAATTAAAATTTTTCTTTAGAATAATACTCAAATAGGCCACTGAACGATATACAAATAAGTAATTGGTTCATTCAACTCAAAAAAAAAAAAAAGTGTAATTAGATCCATGAACCAATTAAAAATATGCAATTAAATTGAAATTGACTTGTTTAGGTGATCATTGCTACGTAGTTGTCAATGACCTGATTGTAATAGCCTACCCTCCTTTATTACATTCTCTATTCTTCTAACATACACTCCTAGTAACTTACCGTCCTTGGTACTAACAGAGGAGTTCTTAACATAATGAACATGTTATTGCAGTAGTAACTTACAGAGAAATTCTTAATGTAATATAATTGTAAATTAGTTAAGATAAATTCAAAAAATTATCAATATAGATCATAGATGTCATTTAAAAGACTTCATTTATAATTTTTTTAATGCTATACTTATTGTACATTACTTTTATTTATACACAAAATAGAGAAAAGTAAATTTAAAGTAAAAAGAAGTTAGAGAGTAAAATATTAAATTTATTAAAATTAAAATTTTCTAAATAAATTTAAAAACTTCATAACCAATCAAGACTCAATGTTAAAATTATTAATTAAATATTTACCATTAACTAAAATTTTATTGAAATTAAATATCATAACTCATTAGATGATTATCTTATTATTTTTTATATTGGGTACCTACCATGCTTATGAAATGAAAAAGTTCCCATTTATTTTAGTATATTAGACACATGACTATTGATTTATGGCATGTATATGCTTGAGAATTGGACCGACTAGTCACTAGACCGACTTGCAGAGTTGCAGTAAATGACAAGCCCCGTGGCCAATTACTTTAGGTTTTTTGTCCACTTAAATTCATATCATTGCTTGGCCATGCATTTTTTTTTTTTTTTTTTTTTTATGACGACAGTATAATCCTAACCCAGTTTTTGTCAGTATGCATATGCATTGATACTCATCATTTAGAATTTTTTTTTTTTTTTTTTTTTTTGGGCCGGCTCAAGAAGAGACGGATTGAAATGGTCAAATTAATCAGTTAATTATAAATGTGAGACAATGATATTGTTGACCTTCTACTGCAGTTATCATTAATTGTCTTAAGTTACTTTATATATATATATATATATATATATATATATATATATATATATATATATATATATATATAGAGAGAGAGAGAGAGAGTAAGTAAGAGGACTAAATTGGGTATAACTCCTATATTTTAGCTACTAAGGCATGATCTGGTGTTCTTGTTAGAGCCGTCAAAACGAGCTTAGCCCGCCGGCCCGCCCCGCCCCGCCCCTACTTAGGTAGGGGGCGGATTTTGAAAATAGAGGACCGTTTAGGAGCGGGCTTTTTTGGCCCGCCCCGCTTAGGCCCGCGGCCCGCCAGGCCCGCCCCCCGAGCCCGCGGGTTGCCCGCCATTATTTTATTTTATTTTATATAAAATATTTTTATATAAAATATGCACTTTAAAATTATTTTTATGTGTAATATTTTTGGACTTTGTAATTGTGACTAGTTTGATGTTTGATAAACTATGAACTTTGAACTTTATGTAATATTTAATGTTTGATTATTATGTTTTATGTGAGTTATGACTTATGTATCAATTTATTTTAATTAGTTAGATGTTTGATGAACAATTTTTTTTTTTTAAAAAAAGGGTTTCGGCGGGGGCCCGCCTAGCTCGCGGGCCACTGGCGGGGCGGTCCGGGCCTATCAAACCCAGGCCCGTTTAGGAGCGGGCTTTTTTAGCCCGCCCCGCCCCGCCAGCCCGTATTGACAGCACTAGTTCTTGTTCACAATCTACTACTTATGACATGTTTGGTAGAGAGGAATTGTAATTTGTTTTCCACTTAATTTCAACAAGTGAAAAATTACAGAGTTTGATTATGAGGAATTGCAATTCTATAGAATTACATGCAATTCTTCAAATTTGAGAAACCGCAAATCCCACCTCCCATAGGAACTGCAATTTCATAATAATGGAAAGAAAGTTTGTAGTGCGAGGACCTAATTGCCTCCCTAATAATCTTACATTTTTCTCTAGGAATTACAATTACATTTCACTTGGTATTTATACTACTAATTATTACCTTTCATATAATACCAAGGTCATTTTAGTATTTATACTACTTATTATTACCTTTCAATTCTCATATATACCAAATACTAAATTCCTAGTAATTCAATTCTTGCCTACCAAACAATGGAATTTGAATTCCTACTTTATTCATACATTATCCCTAGCTTTACCAAGGAATTACAATTCCTTTCCTCCTTAATTCATTTTTTGCAATCAAATGGCCTATTAGGAACCAACGAAACTGTCCATGCGGGCTGTATATTCAAGTCTTGATTCATATAATAAAATGAAAGTAAGGATCATATAATCTAAAAACTTTAAACACATCAAAGTAAGGATCACTTTTTGATTGATCAAAGAAAAAAAAAAGTTATTAAATGGCTTATAACTATAAGATACAAATTAAAATGAGTTAGATGGATTATGACTACGATGATTGAATAGTCAACATGGGTTGCTCAATACATGACAATTTAAAGATTTGCATAAGATCTTCTAACCCATAAACATAATTATTATATATTGAAATCTCTCTTAAATTAATTGTGTTTTAAGCATGGGCCGCCAGGAACTTTGAATATAATAATGATAAAATGTTTTTGCAGATGATGTATGAAAGCATGAAGGAAAGAGTAGAGAAGGTATGTGAGAGAGGGAAGATGAATGAGGAGTACATAACCAATGAACAAGAGCGTTTGGCATTTGAAAATTATTGGACTCCAGGTTTTACTCGCCAACATCATCCCACCATTATTCAGGTTACTTTCTTATCTCAATCTATAAAAATTATATTACTCTATAATAATACAATTTTAATATAAATAAAAAATGTGTTGTCCTAATCAGTTGCAATTGTGACTTGTATATTGCACTCATTCTTTTTAATTTTATCATTTTTTTTAAAAAAAATTCTCTTCTAAGTTGTTAGGGAACATTTTAGACATACTAACTTGCATATTATATTTACTTTTTTATATGTTTACATTTGATATATTGAGAGTGTTTGGTAAATAGTTGTTAGCTGTTAGCTGATTGGGTTAGTGAGTTTATTAGTTGATAGCATTAAATTAGCTTATTATAGAAAGATGTTTAGTAACTGTCCCACCCAAAAGAGGTGCCTACAATTCAGCGAGAGGATTAGTCACTGTGTCCGACGGTGAAAACCCTGGGTATATCCAAAATATATATATATATATATATATATATATATATATATATATATATATATATATATATATATATATATATATATATATTTGGTAAATTAGCGTTGATAGCTGATTACATGCCAAATGATTTTATCAAAAAGCTATTTTGAACAATTTTTTTTTATAAGTTTAACATTTTTAGAGCAATAAACTGTTATAAAAAACTAATTAATCAAATACTTATATTAAATGTTTAACCAAGTCAAACAACTAATAGTAGTTAAATAAGTCAAAATTGGCTGATAAGCTAATTGTGTTACCAAACATGACTGTTATTTTTATTGTCTTGTAATGTCTTTTTATAATTTTACAATTTTTTTTCTTACTGAATATTTACTTAATTATGTAATGTGCGATATAGTTGACGAGTAGATATTGAATATATATATAATTTTTTTTTTTTTTTTTGAAAGTTACTGGTCCTATTACATTGTAGTATCTGTTCATATACTTTCTCAACCTGTTGAAACACAAAGAACCAATAACGCCTCCACTAAGGCTCGAACTCATAATCTTCCAAATGGAAGTCCAACCCGGGTACCATTAGACCACATAGTCCTAGTATATATAATTTTATTTGATTCTTTTAATTTTATGTTTTGTTTAATTTGAGAAGGTGTTATTAGAAAGTAGGGAAGACAAAGATACAAGTGGTTATCCAATGCCGAGCCTTGTGTATATTTCAAGGGAAAAAAGCAAGACCTCCCAACATCATTACAAGGGCGGCGCCCTCAATACCCTTGTAAGTATTTCCGATTATTCAATTTAATCATCTTATTATTATTATTATTATTATTATTATTATTATTAACGGTGAAATAATATTCAAAATGATCTCTTAGCACTGTGTGGACCATGACCCACACAATAATGTCAGATAATACTTGTTTTTAGAATTTTGGTTTACTAATTTTTTTATTTGATTTATTTTGTGAAGATTCGAGTGTCAGGCGTGATGACAAATGCACCGATAATACTTACTTTGGATTGTGATATGTACTCCAATGACCCTTCAGCACCAAAACGGGCTTTGTGCTACTTCATGGACCGCTCTGTCCGGCCCAATTTAGGTTATATTCAGTTTCCCCAACGCTTTCATGGGCTCAACGAGAACGACATATACGCAAGTGAGCATAAGCATATTTTCCAAATAAATACAATGGGCATGGACGGGTTTTCGGGCCCAAATTATTATGGGACTGGATGCTTCTTCTGGCGCCGGACATTCTTTGGTGGCCCATCAACGTTTGTTCGCCCAGAAATTGAGGAATTGGGCCCGGATTATGTTGTCACAAAGCCCATCAGGGCACCAGAAATTTTGGAGCTTGCCCACAATGTAGCAAGGTGCAACTATGAGGACCAAAGTGATAGTGGGTGGGGATATAAGGTAAGTCCATTATTTATTTTCCTCAAATAAAACTATAATTTTAAGAGTACATTTCTAAAAATTGCAAGTTTTATATATATATATATATATATATATATATATATATATATATATATATATATATATATATATATTTTAGTATTACTGACTCTGTTACAATTAAGTATATGTTCATACATACTTTCTCAACGTATTGAAGTATAAAGAGTCAATATTCATACATACTTTCTCAACCTATTGAAGCACAAAGAGTTAATGTCCATACATACTTTCTCAACCTATTGGAGCAGTGGGGCTCCCATTTGGAAGAGTCACAGTTATGTCGCATAACCACAATGTCTTATTTTAATCAGACTATCAGGTAGTCTTCTTCACTGAAAAAAACAATCAGCAGATCAATTTTTCCACCTAAGAAGGCGGTATGTTGTTCGCCTTTTCCAAATGGAGAAGGCGACCTATTAGTTGCCTTTTTCGCCATTGAAGGAGGTTACTGGCAACAGTTCATTGGTCATCGATTTTAGTCATCGAGGCTTCATAGGAATCGTATTGATTGACTATTATAGGTCAATCATCGGTTCTTAGGTTTAGATGCACGAAAATGACATGTCGATTAGCTTAATTATAATAATTTTTAAACAGTTAAGGGCTAATTGACTTTTCGTATAAAATTTATGCTATTTGACTATTTTTTAAAAATTAAATTACCATATATAGCAATTTTAAATTTAGAAGTCTTTTCTTTGATGAGCAGGAAAAACCTTTTGTTTTATATGTATAGATTTGAATGAATGAAATTTGCAGATGGGATTCAAGTATGGAACCGTAGTAGAGGATACATATACAGGATATAGGCTTACATGTGAAGGGTGGAATTCCATATACTGCAACCCTAAAAGGCCAGCTTTCCTGGGAGATATACCAATTTCTTTGGGTGATGCCTTGAACCAAAACAAGAGATGGGGAGTAGGCTTATTGGAAGTGGCTCTCAACAAATACTCCCCCCTCACATATGGCACTCGCACTGCTGGCTTTATAATGGGATACTGCTACACTCACCTTGCTTTTTGGCCCTTTTGGCTCTTCCCTGTCACCATTTATTCCTACCTTCCTCAACTCACTCTCCTCAATGGCCTCCCCATCTTCCCAAAGGTATATATATTACTTTTCACCTCTCGGATTCAATTTCTTGTGTGCTAAGATCAAGCGCTTACTAAGTTATATATATGGTGTGTCTTTCATTAGAACTAGAAGTGGCGTGAGAACATGTAGGCTACGAACTAATCTTATCTATCAATCTAAGATGATCAAGGCTGAAAATTAAGGAGAAAATGAAAAAAAAAAAACATGCTGGTTACATTCCCAGATAACTAATAGTGTACACACGTGAATGCACTATTATAGATCTTGAACGTAATGTCAGTTATCAGTGAATGCATTACCAAGGTTTCCCAAGGCACTGTTGTAATTACATAAATGCTATCTTGTTTTTCCCTTAATTTTCATTTCTTGACCATCTTAGACTATGGTTAAACGAGATTAGTGTGCATGTTCTCATGTGACTATTAGTTTTCATCTAATCCTGATTCTATATATTTTAATGGGGAGGGGCTGCATTAGGTGAGAACACCCTCAAATGCAAACAGAAAAGTGCACACAGCAAAACTACAAAGTGCATGATATGTAAAAGTGTACCTAAAAAACGTGCGAATTGAATTCTAAAAACGCACCATGCAAAACGACAAAGTGTACCAATTATTAAGTTGCACCTTGTACATATCATAGGATATACCTTGTCACTTTAGGCGAACTTTATTTTCTTATATTTACCTAGTAGTGCCTTACGTTTCGGTGGTAGAATGCTAAACCAACCGTCCAAGAACAATATATGATTTCATTTACAATGTGATTATTGTTTCAGGCGTCGGACACTATGTGGATTCTTGTATACGCTTTTGTATTCATCGGAGCAAACGCGCAAGACTGCTACGACTACATTTCGACCGGCGGGACATGGCGGCGGTGGTGGAGCGACCAAAGGATGTGGCTAATGAGGGCGCTGTCCTCCTACTTATTCGCCGCCGTCGAGTTCGTCAGCAAGCAGCTGGGCATATCCAACCAAGGGTTCACGGTGACGAGCAAAGTGGTGGACGACGAGCAAGGGAAGCGGTACGAGCAGGGAGTTTTCGAGTTCGGCGCTGCGTCTCCGTTGTTTGTGCCCATCGCCGCCGCCGCAATCATCAACCTCGCCGCGTTCCTCCGGGGGATTGGGCTGGTTCTCGGCGGCGGGAGGGGTTTGGATTTGTTTGTCGTTCAGATTTTTCTGGCGGGGTATGGGGTGTTGAACTCTTTGCCGTTCTATCATGGGATGTTGTTGAGAAGTGATAAGGGAAGGATGCCCACTAAGATCACTCTCATTTCTAGTTTTATTGCTTTGGCTATTTACATTTCATTTTCTTTCTTTCTTGGAAATTAATTTGTAGGGAAAGGATACACGCATGATGTTAGGTTGTTTTTACTTTTTAAATAACATTGTAATATATAATAGTGCAAAACTAAAATATGTACAACTTCAATAATGAGGTTGTTTGAATATATTCTCATAATATCACTCTGTGACAATATCATGTCTCCATCAACTGACCTCTGGTCATATATTGGCATTGCTTACTGTTACTGCAAGGCTTTGATGAGTTCTTTTGTTTTATGTTCTATTCACTTTGTTCTTAGATTATCTAATGTTTTAGCACACATTATTTAGTCAAAGTGTCCTCTTCGCAGACAAACACTTTGTTCTGAGACTTTGTCCATCCTAACACGTTGCTTTGAGACTTTGTCTATCCTAACTTTGTTTCGGAACTTATGCATTAATCTAGGCTAACTTTTTTCCTTCAAAAAAAATATTCTCATAATATCTCTATTATAATCTATATTATCATCATTAAAAACTAATTTTTTAAAAATTACTATATTATATGAGAATATATAAATTAAAATATGTATACTATTCGAAAACTCCGGGACCAATGTTCGAAAAACTATAGTTTTATTTATAATTCTAATTTTAATTTTAATGTTTAAACAGTGGCTTAATGGTGTTAATGGTGTTATAGTTTAAACATTAAATTTTTTTTTTCTCAAAAATAATTTTTTAATATTTAAACTATAACACCATTAAGCCACTGTATCCGTGATTTCTTCCCAATTGTAAAGTTGATGTGAATTTTTTTTTAAAGACATTACGTGTAGCAACTCTCACTTGCAATTTGACCTTCAGCCTTGCAAATGTAATTTTGGCCGCTTTTACATTTTTTATTAGGGAAAAGGGTCAAATAGGCCCTCAAACTTTAGCTAAAAAGTCAATTAACCCCTCTAACTTTTTAAAGGTGCAATTACCCCCATAAACAACTCATTTTGATGCAATAAAGCCCAATAACAGGTAATTGACTTGCTATCACAAGTTATTAGAAATCTGGCCATCCTCCGGCGAAACTTTCCGACAAAAAGTCATCGGCGATCGGAGATGAACTAATTTATAAAAGCAAGAACTTTATCCTTAAAATTAGTATAAATAATAGAAGTAGCAGAAGAAGCTCATGTCGTCGATTGGTTTGAGGGATTAAAGGAGAGTCGCCATAGAAAACACCAATTGCCCAGGAGCCCTCATGGACAGGCCCGCATGGACATTAGGCGTGAGCAGGAGGCGAGCATAGAGGGCAACTATAGAGCCCAACAACATAAATGAGACGAGGAAGAAAGTGAAAGCTGACGAGATAACACAGAGATCGCTACTGTTGCTCTTGCCGCTGTTACCGGATGTTTCTCCGGCACTACCAACCGCCGGCGCCGGCCTGTGCGTAGGAAGAGGCGGAGATCGCAACTAGGTTTGAACCCATCGGTAAAGGAAGATGCGGAGGGTGTCGCCTTAGAGAGATCTCTCGCGGCGGTGGGCATGCGGTTCCAGAAACGCTGATTAAAGCCAACATTATATGTTAAATGCGTGTTAATCTATGTATGGTCTGTGCAGTTCCTTCTAATGTAAAAATTGTGCTTAGGAATTGAGAATAATGGGACACAAAAAGGGAGAGTGGAAGAAGAGGAGTCCGACGGTGGGGTTTGGGTGTTTTGGAAATGCGAAGGCAGATTGCGTCGGACATACAACAATGATTTTGCTTGAAAAGTCACTTTTTTTTGCCGGAAAATTCTGCCGGAGGATGGCTGGATTTCTATTGACCTATGATAGCAGGTCAATTACATGTTCTTGGGCTTTATTGCGTTAAAATGAATTGTTTATGGGTGTAATTGCACCTTTACAAAGTTAGAGGGGTTAATTGACTTTTTAGCTAAAGTTTGAGGGCCTATTTGACCCTTTTCCCTTTTTATTTTTACTTCTATTATTATTAATATTTTATTGATAAAAAATAATTTTTTTAATAAGGTGATGTGATAGTGTGATTATTTTTTAGAGATGAAAAAAATATTGTTCAATGGCAAGTAATTAGTGAATAATTACAAATTTTATGATGTAACATTTTGAGAGTGAGAGAAAATTACACTAGTGCAATAGTCTTAAGCAAGTTAAAGCTCTTCATTCACAGGTGGCACAACCTCATAGGCGTACCACAAACACTTCGGGTGGTCTCACCGGCAAATTATTATATGGACCATGGTCCACACAATGTTATGTGGACCATAACAAAAATTACATTTTTAATATATTAAATGTAAATTATTTTTGTATTGAATGTACATTATCTAATGTACACTCAGAACAAAAATAATGTATATTCTCTGTATATAATATACATTATTTTTGTACTGAATGTACATTATTTTACAATATAGAAAATATGGTCCATACAACTTGTGTGAACCATGGTCCACAATGATCAGGTCTCACCCGTTGCGGATCACTGTATTTCGTCTTCGGCTCTTCGCGGTCTGAAAAGAAAATGAAGTGAAAAAAAAAAAAAAAAAAAGAATCCTTTTCGGATCACACATAGCCGCCGATTCTCAAGCTCCGTTTTGCAACATCTCCGTTCAAAGGTACGCCCTCGCGAATTCTGATATACATTCGTTATACTGGGAAGTGGGATCTATCTATCTGTATCTATGTATGCCATTTGATTCATCTGTAGTTGTACAGATTTAGTGTTTGAAGTGTATATTATCATCCATATCTGTGCGTTATGTATTATTTTTGCTGATTGTGTGTGAAATATAAAAAATTGACGCTTGTGCTTCGATTTCAGGCTTTATTAAGTTGAAAATTAATTTGTGCTTTTTAATGGAATTTGGAAAAAAATAAAAATGAAGCCATAAATTTGTTTGAATTTGTTCAAGATGTCACTCAGCTGTTCTCTTGATATAGACAATCCGTGATCGTTTTAGTGCGGGATATGACTAATTATATGGATTTAAGGGAGGAAGTATTATCAAGTTTGTTTAGGAATTATGATGGAATATTGCAGATATAAGACACTTTTTTTTAGGTATCTTCATTCTTGGCTCTTTCAGCTCCAGAAATTGTAACAAACAAGAATTTGGTATGATTTCTTTCAATGTTTGTTTGATTTTGCAATTAATTGATTTACATTAATGATGTAAATTACTATCAGAAAATGTTATCCCCAAAACTAGCAGCTTTTCTATAATTGTATTCTCTCATTGACTTCCTGATAGTCATCTCTCACTTTGCTTTGATTCACCAATATGTTTTGTCTGCTTTGGTTTCAGAGTTTACATCCAGGTGGTTGTGGTTGAATTTGAATCAGTGTGCCCCATATGGCTTCCTTTAGAGCATTTCTGAACAGTCCTGTTGGCCCTAAAACAACTCACTTCTGGGGTCCTGTTGCCAACTGGGGATTTGTTGTAGCTGTATGCCTCCATCTAATTGATGAATTTAAAATTTTGGCTGCTTGATTTGGCCTTTTGATTAATTGTGTTATGCATATTACAGGGATTAGTAGACACACAGAAGCCCCCTGAGATGATATCTGGAAACATGACGTCAGGTAAAGTTCATTTTGCGTGACATGTGGAATACAATGCTGGATTATAGCCTAATATACTTTTTTTATTTGGTGTTGCAGCAATGTGTGTATATTCTGCATTGTTCATGAGGTTTGCATGGATGGTACAACCTCGAAACTATTTACTTTTGGGATGCCATGCATCAAATGAGTGTGTGCAGCTCTATCAACTTTCTCGTTGGGCAAAGGGCCAAGGGTAAGTGGTTATATATTCGGAATAGATGAATAGTGCATGCCACACACACACACATATCCTGATAGAGTTAGTTTAATGGATCTCATATGTCCTTTATCTAATTGCCTTCTGTCTTCTAGTGTAGTTGTTGCATACTGTTTTTCTTTTTAGTCCTCCACCCTCTTCATGCCACAATGAAGACATCATGCTGATTAAAGAACGTTGCCCAATAAATTAAATATCAACATCTTGTTCTTTTACCTCTTTTAGTGATAATTTAGATGGGTGATTTTGTATTTAACTCTCTCATAAGTTCTTTATTTTAAGTTGATTCATATTCTCCTTAAATTTCTTATAGTATTGAGTTTTAGTCAAATTTGTTATTTTACCTCTTTATTTGCTGTTGGCTTTGAGTAAATTTGTCTCTCCTCTTCACTCTTCTAAAACAACAAATTAAATGCTTTGCGTAGGCGATGGGTAAATTGTTTAGATGAGTGGTTCTGTATTTATTCTCCCTTCCTCTATTTTGAATCATCATATTTGCTTCGCATTTCGTTTATTTGGTTGACCAATATTTCCTTTTTCATCTCATGAGTAAATACAAACTCTCCTTAACTTCACATTTAGGTTTGGTTTAGTTACAAAATCACCATCTCCTTATGTAGTATCTTAAGGAACAGAGGGAAGATAATGGCATCTCTAAAGTAAACAAAAGGCTATTTATGAAGGCAATTTTTCTCAGTTCTGGAAATATTTTTACCCTTGATTTGAAGGGGCATAGCAGAATATTAGAAATTTAGAACAAGGCATTGTAGTTTACTAGTTTTAGAGTTCCAGTTAGTCAAGTATTCTTATTTATATAAAGCACATTCTTTGATTTGTTGTGGGGAGAGTGATTTCATCAATAATACAATATGTTTTACTTGATGGCCAATACAATTTGGTTCAGGTTATATTCCTTACCTATTCCATTCCCTCAAAATTCATTCCGTGAACCAAACATGCTGTAATGGCTTACACGGAGACAATGAAAGCACGAGTCTATTCTTGTTTGCCCAACACTTGATACCATCCATCACTGAAGATTGCCATTTGAATTGGTACTATGTTACTAGATCACGTTAAAGTCAGATGTATTTTTGGAACAAATATGTGAAGGGCATGGAATTCTTTCTATTTTTAAATGAGTTAGTGTTCCATACATATTTATGTTTTAAATGTCACACTGATTTTTACTCCCCAACCCAACAAAATGTAGGTACTTGCAGCAGAAGCAGGACAAAACCCAGTGATTCAATGCTACTTTTGTTTTCCCTTTTGTGGGCGCCTTCATCGCGCTGAATTGTTGGGCGATTTCTCATTAATTTTTCTATTCTAACCATTAGACAGTAAAGCTGGAAGCTGCGCTGTAAACTTCATCTTCATGGTTAGTTATGCGTTTTCTTTTGTGTTTCCCTAGCCCTCTAATGTATGATTACTTTAACAGCTAGAATTTAGAGAGGTGTCTGGGTCTGCAATAATAAGATTTTCAAGTTTCATACACCACAGTGATCCCAAAATAATTGATCTTCATGATTGTGATGAAAATGATGAAATATTCTAGGATAATTTAAGTTACTATATTTTGTGTAAGATGAAGTTGTACTTTTCTTTTGAATACCTTTGTAAAGCAAAACAGGAAAATGACATTGTATGGAGTGTTTTCCATTCCTTTTTTTTTTTTTTTTTTTTTGGATGTACTGTCCTTTGATATGAATAATATGATAAATTAAATTATCCTTTTTTTTTTTTTACCAAAAAAAAATCATCTAGCACAAGGTTATGGTAATTTATGATGATCATAAAAATATTCTGTTCATCTTAAGATTTATAATGTCTGTTGTCTTAGATTTATAATTGGCAAGTACTTCTCACAATATCACAGCTTGGCCAATTGTCATATTTTCTTGGGATATGATAAATGTACACAACATTACAACCAATTGTTATACTATTTGAGGGTGCGGTGGTTATTTAGAAGTTGGTACCACTGTATAATTAATTGAAATAATTTCAGTTTGTTGGTTGGGTTTACGGTTTTAAGGATACGCAACGCAAGCATCTTCTTTCAAGCAAATAAATTATTGTATGAACTTCCACCTTGCAAGGTATACTCGAGTTTGAAAATACATAATTACATATTGAATGTTCACAATTTACATACTAAATATTTATAATTTATATACACAATTACATATCACAAGTCAAATAGTCAATATTCAGTATTGTTCTTTCAAGCTTAACTACTGGGCCTGAGTCTATGGTATAACTATTGTTCTTTCAAGCTTAACTACTGGGCCTGAGTCTATGGTATAACTATTGTTCTTTCAAGCTTAACTACTGGGCCTCTCAGCGTCGGTAGATGGGCCCTTCTGGGTGTGAGTCCACTTCATTGTCCACGACAAATTATATCGTGCACCGCGGTGCATAATCGATTATGCACCGAACTTCAAAATGACGTCATTTTGTTTAATGAAAAGAAACGGTTCCCGTTTCGCAAAAAGTAACTTTGTTATTCAGTTTTATTTTGTATACACTGCAATTTCTGTTCAACACAACTACAATTTCATTTCGATATAACTACAGTTTCACTCGATATTTATACATTCAAATATGTGAAAATGTTATTTAAGTTTATTTTATATACACTATAGTTTTATTAAAACACAACTACATGATTATTTCGATATAACTACAGCTTCATTGTACAGTATACACTCAAATATGTGAAATGTTATTCAGTTTCATTTTATATACACTGCAGTTTCATTTCAAAACAAATACATTATCATTTTGATATAACTACAGTTTCGCTGGGTAATATACTCTCAAACATGTGAAATTGTTATTCAGTTTCATTTTGTATACACTGCAGTTTCATTTTAACACAATTACAATTTCATTTCATTTCAATTGTAGTTTCACTTGATAATATAAAAATAATACATGAGACAGTGTCAGTTTAAATACACTGTAGTTTCAGTTGGTAATTAATACACCAAACATGCGAGCTCCGTTAGCGGTAACGGCCCGCCGTTTCTTTACTTAAAGAAACGGCGCCATTTTTTACAGCGGTGCACGTGCATCGCGATCCACGATATAACGACTGGTTATCCACCTACTTCTCTTCCGGTAAATTATACTGTGGACCGAGGTACACAATGCATTGTGGTCCAAACATCAAATATGCATTGCAGTTTCATTTCAACACACCTACAATATTATTTTGATATAACTACAGTTTCGCTGGACAATATACACTCAAATATGTGAAATTGTTATTCAGTTTCATTTTGTATACACTGCAGTTTCATTTCAACACAAGTACAATTTCATTTTAATTCAATTGCAGTTTCATTTGATAATATAATGAAAATAATACGTGAGACAATGTCAGTTTAGATACACTATAGTGTTTGTCGTTTTGGACCATGATCCACAAAGCTTTGTGGACCGCGGTCCACAGTATAATTGCTGCTTCTCTTCCAATCGTTATACTGGTCCACAGAGCACTGTGGATCCTGGTCCTAAACGGCGTAGGCCGCGTAGTTTTGGATTTTATTTTTGACAGTGACTGTTTGTTGTTCAATTCACGTTACAGGTTTTTTTTTTTTTTTTTTTTTTTTTTTTTTTTTTTTTTTTTTTTTTTTTTTGTAAAATATGTGTCTTGTGTTATGTGTTTATGTATCTCATATTATGCAATTCTGTACCTTAACCGTATGGATTCTGTACTTGGAATAAAGTAAATATAACATGCGCTTTTGTGTCTTGTGTTATGCGTTTTTGTGTCTTATGTTATGCAATTTTGTACCTTAAGAATATTGATTCTGTACTTGAACTAAAGTAAATATAAAATAGATGTATCTGTCTTGTGTTATGCGTTTCTGTGCCTCATGTTATGCAATTCTGTACCTTAAGCGTATGGATTCTGTACCTGAAATAGATTAGTAGTTGTGTAATACACAACATATTGTGTATCTTATTTTACGAATTTATATCTTGTATTATGAAATTATGTGCATATGGGACATATATTGTCTACATAAATCAAATTTGAGAATAAGTAAATATATAACATGTATATGTGTCTTGTATTGTGAGTTTGTGTCTCGTATTATAAAATTCTGTACCTTAAGAGTATTGATTCTGTACCTAAAATAAATTAAAATTTGTGTTGAAATATGAGAAATAGGAAATTACAGAATATGTTAAAACTTAAATATCAAAGCGGCATCGTTATGATCTAGGGTCCACAATGCTATGTGGACCCTGGTTCACGATATAAATTGCCCTTCTCTTCCAATCATTATTGTGTTGATCATGCTCTACACAGCTATGTAGACCATAAATAAAATGTACATTATTTGAGTACTGAAAATATATTATTTTGTATATTATTAAATAATGTATACTCAGTATACAAATAATGTATTTTTTAGTATATTAAAAATGTACATTGTATTCAGGGAAAATATATTTTGAGTACTAAAAGTACATTATTTTGTATAATGTACATTCAGTACAAAAATTATGTACTTTTAATATACTTCCATCCGTCCCGAATTGGTTGCCACATTTGCTTTTTGCACGCTTTTTATGGAATTTTGTAAATGCTATGTAATTTTTCAATTCTGCCTTCACTTTTGAAAATAAAAGCAACAAAGAATACAAACTCATACCAGGATTATATGGTCTAATGGTACCCGGGTTGGATTTTCATTTGGAAGGTTGTGAGTTTGAGCCTCAGTGGAGGCGTTATTGGTTCTTTGTGTTTCAGTAGGTTGAGAAAATTTGTAATAGTACAAACTCATAAGGAAAAATAGAATGATGGTAATGTTCAATTATGGAAAGAGAACAACATTTTGGGACAAACTAAAAAATCAAGTAAGACGGATAAAATGATACAGAGGAGTATTAAAAATGTACCCGTTTTATGATCCACACAATAATTTTTCCTCTTCAATGTTTTTACCATACTCAGACTAATCCCCGTTCAGACAAGGGGCAAAGTGATGGTCATATTAATTTTTCCATACGAGAGAGGTTCAAACTCCCGACCTCTCTTAAAGGACGAGAGTGCACGGCCACTCACGCCAACCAAGCTGGTTAAATGATGTATTTTAATATTAGAATTATGAACTTTTAGAATATAAATTGTGTTTTTAAATTTTAGAAATGGTGTATATTTGGATCCGAGTCCACCTTGCAAGGTGGACCCGAGTCCACAGAATAATTTGTCTTGGTTTTTTTTTTTTTTTTTTTTTTTTTTTTTTTTTTTTTTTTTTGGATTTGTAGTATTTTGCATACAATAGCAATCGTTATGCTGTTCATCCGTATGCACCGTGCATGGTGCATACGGATGCAAAAACGACATCGTTTTGACGTCTAACTTGAAAAAAAAAAAATCAGAATTGCATAACTACACATCCATAATTTCATAACTATACATCCAGAATTACATAACTACACATTCATAATTTCATAACTATAAATCCAGAATTGCATAACTACACATCCATAACTTCATAACTATACATCCAGAATTGCATAACTATACATCCATAACTTCATAACTATAAAATCCAGAATTGCATAACTACACCATGCATAATTACACATCCATAATTTCATAACTATAAATCCAGAATTGCATACCTACACATCCATAATTTCATAACTAAAAATTCAGAATGAATGAACTAAAAAATAAATAACATAATGTTGTTGTTGGGAATTGAAATTGATTTTTTTTTTTAAAGTAAGATGCGCGTTTTGATGCAAAACGACATCGTTTTTACATCCGACAGATGCACATCATAATTTGCCATACAATAGTAATTGGGCCAATCCGAATAGAGCTCCCGTACTATTTGGTGCCTGAAAAGAAAGCCCATAAGATTTCTATTGCAAATTTTACCGGACCATGAAGTAAATATCATTCTAATTATACTTTAATTTCATTTGATAATTTTGCTATGTTTTTTAGTTTCATTTTTAACACACTAGTTTTATTATAGCAATACAAAAGTATCATTTTAATTCTATTACAGTTTTATTTGACAATATACATATTGCATGGACTCTATTTTTTAGTTTAATTTTTCACAGACACTAATTTAATTATAGTAATGCTGAAGTATTATTTGTATTACACTTCAAGTTTATTTGACAATATATACTATTGTATGGGCTTTGAATTTTAGTTTCATTTTTCACACACATTAGTTTCGTTATAGCAACACTAAAGTATCATTTTAATTATACTACAGTTTCATTTGACAATATACGCTATTGAATGAGCTTTGTTTTTTAGTTTAATTTTTCACACACACTAGTTTTATTATAGCAGCATTAAAGTATCATTTTGGGGGTGTTTGATAACATAGCTGATAAGCCAATTTTGCTAGTTTGACTAAATTTGGCTGGTTCGGCTGGTCAACAGGCTAATTTAAGTGTTTGGTAAAATGACTTATTGCATTAGCTTATTGGGACAATAAGCTAAAATCTGAAAAGATAAGAAGAGTACATTTTTTGGTTAGCTGATTGGCCTTAATTATGAAATGACCATTTTACCTTAGCCATCCTTCAACATT